ACACAACTTAACATACATTAATTGAAGTTGTATAAATCACTGTAATGATAAAATGTAGACATCCCAAGAAATTTCAAGAGTATTCATTTTCAGACAGTTTATACACTTAGAAGCCATTATGACTTGAGCAATGAGGAAAACAGATACCAAAGAAAGGAAAGACATGCAACTACCTCCCTTGTAGTTTCGCAGTTAAGGTAGTGCACGTGTTTAATCAGTTCCTATGGTCTTCAATGGACTGGAGATGAATACTTCACACTGACAGCAAAATAGCAGCATGTTAAACACAGGAAAAAGAAGATGAAACAACTAGCACAGACTAAGTGATTCCATTCAATAAATCTCTTGGTGGATTCTGGACCCCACAGCAAAACTTTGTGAAGAATTTAGTGCAGAATTTCACCCAGGTATTTCTATTCCATTTCTTCTGGGAATAGTTAACTGATCACATTGATTGCCTAAGAAGAAATGGACTTTTATCTAGATTCTTTTGATTGCTCATAGAGGCATAGCACAAAGAATCCTTCTAGGACTTTGTTTGGATGGCAGTTTTTCTGGGTAGCTGGTTCTTCTATCTCACTCATCCCTCAGCCATTTTGAACAAAGTTTGAACTGCATTGAGCTGTGGGTTTGATTCTGTTTTCATCTACACAACAGTCAATCAGAAGCAACTCCACTAAACTCCATGGATTTAAACTGCTGAAAAAAGAATTAGGCCATATGACTATCACTATGAACAGTAAAAAAGTCCTGAACACCAGAACAATTTATGATAAATATTCCACATGCTAACTAAGAACAAAATGGCAGAGGACACTCTTTGCAATTACCAGCTGTATCAGAGAAGTACTGTTGATTCCTTGATCATTCCTGTATACGTTAAGTTTTCAAACCAGGTCTCATGTAGGGACTGAAGGCCCAATTCTCCTACCCGTTACATCTTGGTGTTGTTACTCCCAGTTTACATGGCTCCTGTTTGACAGGTATCAACCTGCAGCCTCAATCATATGCAGCTGGACTCTCTCATAGAAAGAGTGAGACTGCTGCTAGACTAGCAGAATAACAACACTCGTAAGCAAATCTTGTCAGATGAGGCCACATCCTCTGCTCTTTGCATCTTTTCCTATATACTTTTCTTGCACTGAAATTGATGAGAGTTTTGCACTCAGAGAGAAATGGCAGGAATGGTAATGAGGCGGTTCTCTGGAAATACATGAATTCTAGAATTCAAAACCTAATGTACTAACATACCCACCTAGTGAGAGGAGGACACCAAATATAGCACCTCATATTACATTTTCATTGCTAGCTATAAAAGGTTTCTATTCACATGTAATTATTGTCTTTCTGCTGGAATAAAATGTCAGGCATTTTAAGAAGCTGTTAGAAAAGTTGGATGGATTGAAGCACTGTTGTACTAATTAAAGTTACTTTGATCTCCAAACACTTACATTTAAAACCACTGGAAAATGAGCATTTTTGGGAAAGACTAGACTTGGCATATAGCATACCATGAAAGGCAAGTGTTGCAGGTTTTGAGAACCGTTCATTTCTTATTTTTCTTCTCATTTAAATTCACTTAGCAGAGGACCAGATGCATGGACTTCTCTTAAGCATGAGGATAGGAAACAAAAATACATGGAGCTGCTCTATGACCCCCTGAAGTAAACAGAATGATTGCCATTTATTTCCGTGAGCTTTGGATCCTGCCCTGAAGGAATATAGGAATTCATAGTACAACATTTAGAATACTGTTGATAGTATTTTTCCGTGCCAGCTCATACCGTCTGCTACAGAATCCTTTCTCAGACATAATGGGAACCTCTACACATGCATTTTACTGTGGAATAGATTAATTAGCACCCCAGTAAAGCATCACCATCTACACATGCAGCAGTATTAGGGCACAGTAAATTAATTAAATCCACAATAATATAGTACTGTTGGGGAGTACTTGACTGCACTGAAACACATATGTGGAGTTGACCACAGGAATAAATTGCACCCGGTCAGCCCAGCCAGCCAGGGGCCTGCTCCACTCTGCCTCAAATTGCTGGTGTCCCAGGAGCATGTTTAGATGCTGCACCCAGGAGCAGTTTAGTCCAGCTCAACCAGCTCCGGAGTTTATTGTGTCACATTAATTGCACGTGTAGATGCACCCAGTTAGTACCACACTTGATCAGATACTTTTGAGGAAGGTACAAAATCCCCTTAATGTAGCAGCATGCCTAGGAAAAGAGATTGTTCTAGTCTCAACGAGTTAACATTTGGTTTATCATCCTGATGTCACAATCAAATACCTCATGTGGTTACTTATAACTGGTATTTCTGTAGGATTTCAATGCATATTCGAATGCCCGGGATTTTCAGAGAGGCCACCATGTAACTAAATGGCATTTATTTATGGAACAAACCAGCTTCATGCCTGAATTCAAAACTTGTGTGTATGTTTGTTTAGTTTCTCCCCTCTTCGTACTTTGGAGCCAGGAGAGGCATGATGGAGTAGGGAGAGAGAGTGGCAGCAATCTGTACTGCCAAAATTTGTTAACTGTTAATTAACAAATTAATTGTTGATTTGTTTATTTACCAAGGCTCACTTTTTCTTTCTTTCTTTTTTTGCCTTAAGCCACACCTAAACCTTAGTGAAAACTGTGGAGGACAACGAGCTTGCAGAAGTGCAACCAAAGGCTGAATTTGGCCAGAAGGGTTCTTACAATTGATAAGGATGACTGAAAGGGAAGTTTGCAGGATTGGCAACTAGAACTTCCTCCCCTCATCATTTTGTATAATGAGCAAATATAACACAGAGCAACAAATACACGATAAACACAGAGTCCAAACCATAACATTTTAACAGTGTCACTTTGCAAAGTAGACCCACTTTGAGGGATTGATACAGCAAGGCTTACATGTAGGAAACTCCCACTGAAGGCTCCAATTCAGCAAGATGCTGAGTAATTAAATAACAATATTTATATTACAGTAAAGTCCAGGGGCAACATAGGCTTCATAAGCAATGAAGCCTGACATCCCTGGCAGAATGCAGGCAGAGACTGATGTCCAGGTACCCCATAAGAGATGAAAGATATGATGAGATAGGCCCAGAATGGCCATCAAAGGGAAAGCAAGTTGACAGTTTGGGCATGGGTGGGGGTGGAACAGGAGGTGTGAAAAGAAAAAAGATCCAGGATCTCAGAAAATGCTCTTTACCACTGTTTTCTGACTGCCTCTGTGCAGGGCACCATAGGATTTCTCAAGGCCAAAATAGAAAAGGTTGAGACACAAGATGACGAAGGTCCAACCAAAAATTTTAGCTGTGTACATGAAGAGGAAAGGCAGAAGCTTACTGACACTATGCTGAAAGAAACAGCAAGATTTAAATGTGATGATCAGAAATCAACATAAGTCAATAAAGCTACTTATGTCCTTAAAGACAGACACAAGGCTGAACATCTTGCTGAGTTAGGGCCAAAATCAATGTGAGTTTGGTGACTGAAGGTTTGCAGAATAGGCCCATTCAAAAATATTACCTGAAAGCGTTTACCACTGGTTCAACCAAATAAACCTTTGTCAGTTCACACCCAAGATTCAATACAAGTAGGTTTATATATCTCCAAAGATATTATTATACAAACTTTAGTAAAACTGCTACTCTAGTAAAACATGTTCCAAAGTATACATGATCTTTGATGTTATTTCCTGTATAGGGCCAATAAAATATAAACACAGTCAGTATCCAGTCATTGTTGTAACCCAGTATCACAAGCCATAAGCGTGGCTACTGATATTGCCTGTCTTTACCATTAGCATTAAAAAAACACCAGATACTTCATCTCTGATCTCATTTCCTTATTTACATATAGCATAAAAATTAGGATAAAATGTCATGTTCACAAAGAAGCAATGAAGCAACCTTTAAGACTGCTGACCTATCAAAATGAAATGCCTATCACATCTACTCGAAGGAGCCACAGCATGTCAGGAATACCTGCCTAAGAAGGGGTATTCAAAGAAAACAAATCATGATTAATTCAAGCCTCTTGTATTTCCCCAAGCTCAAGACCATAATGACTTATACCATTGTTAATGTTTTTGTTAAAGTAAGCATTTATATAGCAAAGTCACCAGAGATTATTCAGATGCAAGAATCTGTAAACCCAGTCTTTACTTCCGTTGAAGTCAGTGCTAAGATTCCTACCACCTTCAGTGCCAATGGTCCTATAATTATATTGGCTTTACTCATTTGGAATGAGATGCAAAGTCCTTTGAGGTCAATAAAGTTAATGAATCAAGTCTGTGAACTTCATCATATTTTAAAGTTTAAGTCTAAATTCAAAAGGCTTACAACATCGATGACAACATCTGTCACAGTGAAACTCATTTCCCACGGAATACCTTGCAGTTTGTTATTCATTATGACATTCAACCAAAGCAGGGATGAACTAACCATTCACTTCCGACACAACTGCCTCGTGGGGACAGCAGAGAAATTGGACTCCAGAAAATAACCAGACAAAATATTCCTGGGTAAGATCCTTAAAAATTTTCTTTAATTGATGCCAAGTATGAACAGATGATCAAGTGACAGAAGCAAGAAAAATTGCATAGATGAAAACTATGCACTTTAAATAGGTTAGAAACTCATCACATTAGATGTCCTGAAACTGACAAATCAAACTAGCTAGTTACCAAAAGTAAAACGAGCAGTAATGTAACAGTGAGGTACATACTTGACTCAAAGTGTACGCAGTTTGTAAACTGTGGAAATAAAGAGAGCTATCTCAGCTTAAATGGCTTGTTGCCCTGATGGTGCACTTTATATGAACACTATTCAGTTTCTATATTTAACATTGGTAATACGTGATCTTTAAAATCAGAGGTATGTCAGAAAGTCCTTATACAGTTCTACCTACAGCGGTAATTTACACATTTTCAAACCAATGCAATGAAAAGAAAAAGTGGTTTACATGTCATGGAAAGGAAAATATATATATATATAATTTTAAGAAGTTATAGGTATAAGGGTTTTTTGCTGAAGTCATAAAAATATTATTTTTACTTTTGTACAAAAGTAAAATATACATTTGATTCCAATTACATTGTAGAAATGTCATTGAAACAATAACAGTAATTAACGACTAATGCACCTGAAGGAATTTAATGCAACACATACTCACTTAGTTATCAGAGAGAACATAAAGGGAAAGGGATATATTTTTATAGCCTTGGATAATATTCACTAGACTCTGAGAACAGGTGAAATGAACAGAGCTACACAGATACAAATAGGATATTTTCAAACAATTCTGAATTAAGACCTCAGCTTCATTTTATTTCTTTAAAAAATATCAAGGTATAGTATGCCTTGATAATACAAACTGCTGGCCTTTTTTGTGTATACTTCACCTACAAGGAAGAAAAAGTTACAATACCCTGAAGTTTTATGATGGTGATAAGTACTGACACTTCTGATGAAGTTAGGATGCAGAAAGACAACATTTGCTATTCCTAAATTTAAAAAAAATCTTCACCTGACAAAACTGTTGAAATGCAGATTCCTGTTTAGGCAATTCCAAAAAAAAAGTTTGTTTTGTAGTTTCCATTCTTTATAATAATGTCGCGCAATTGCTAAAGACAGCTTGCCAATTCTACCTAGCCTCATGACTAAAAATGGTGAATCACAATTTGGAACCAATTCTGTATTTCCTATTAACCCAAAATTACCATGGAAGTCAATGGAAATATTAAGTATGGAAAAAAATTTGAAATCAGGCCCTTCCTGAGTAAGCACCTAGAATCTGTGATATAACTCTTTTCTGCTTTGTGCATGAAATAAACCCTGAATGTCATTCTGCTAAATAGAAGTAGTCAATTTAAAGTCAAAGGAAGGAAAATACATTAAGCATGTTTCTAAATAAGACTTTCCAGCCTGCTTTATTAAGCCATGTTATTTTTCCTTTTCCCCTTCCCAAAATGTGATTATTTCAATTATAACACAATGCACAGATATACATGAAAGATATTCTGCATTGCCCAAAGACTGAGATATTAAATGGTGAAACTGGCCCTCAGTGCCTTACATTTAAAACATGTTATGCTTTATATTTCTCGTGTTCCAGCTGTATCAGTGAAGCAAACACTCTGTACATTCATTTAATTAAACAATTGTCCCCTAGCCAAAACTCAAGGAGAACAAAGTTGCCATTGGTTCATTCATCTATTTATCCAATGCCATCCCTAATTAATTATACATAACTGATTTCCTAAGAAGATCCTGATCTGATCTTTGAAATCTCTCCTTGGGCAAAATTCCTACTTCAGCCAACAGGACTTTTGCTTAAGTTGGGACTGTAGAGTTGGGCACAGTCTTCTAACCTTCAAATATTTACAGATGCATTTAACTTTGTGTATAAGAATACAGTTGAAGACATGCATATTTACAAGAATGTGTGACTAGAAGTTAATTACCCTGGGTCATATTCATCCCTAACTCTGACACTAAAATCAGGGGGTTGATTTCGCCTGTATAAATCAGAAGTAAATCAACAAAGTCAAAGGAGTTGCACTAGAGGCAGCTGGGTTGAGCCAGCAAGAGCTTGTCTACAATACAGCACAGTAAGCTCTGGGGTGAATTTACAACCCATGAATTACTCCACATTAACTCCCTGTGTTGAGTGCTTCCTCCACTTTTAAAGTGGGATAAGTGGCCTTGCACTTCATGCAGGCAAGGGGCTTATCTATATGAAGTCACTAAAGATAATTAATTGGAATTAACTTTTAAAGTAGATAAGTCAAACAACTTTAAATCCCTCCATGGACACTCATATTCTGAATAGGAGTGGTCTAAATTCAAGTTAGCTTGCTTCAGTTCCAAACTGAACTAGGAGACATACAATGAAATTATTAGGAAGAAGGTTTAAAATTAGCAAAAGGAATTTTTTCATACTGCACATAATTAACTTGCAGAACTCATTACCACAGGATATTGTAGGGGCTGATCATTTCACCAGGTTCAAAAGAAGATTAGACAAATTCATACAGAATAAATCTAGGAACAGATATTAAACATTATTGTAAAAGGTTCAACCTTCAGATTAGGACTAGCTTCTAAATGCTGGAAGCTGTAGGGAGAGAGGGGCAAGGGATAGATCAGTGTGGACAGGTCATGCTTAAAAACTCTTACTCAGCATCTGCTCTTTGCCATGGTGAGAGATAAGCTACAGGGCTAGAGGGACCTGTGGCCTGACCCAGTGTGGTACTTGTGCTCTTCATGAACCTAATTAAAATTTAAAACTTCAATTCTGGATACAAGCATCACATAGGGTTTTAAACAGTAATTCACTGTCAACTCATACCATTAATTAATCTGAATGAACTTTTCTGACTGTCCCAGTGGAGAAAAGTCTTTCAGTTTTAACTGGGAGTTAGCCTGGAGTAGCTAGTGCCCACTAACCACTCTGTGCAGACAAGCCCTGCAGAGATCAGATTCATTGACTTCAGCTGAATTACACGACAGAGAAATCTGGTAGCATTTTTCTCTTTTTTTTGGTAACATTTTTCATTCCATTGGTTCTTCTAATAAGGAAGATGACTGCCCCCCCAGACCCTTCCCCCCACCACCATTTTTTAGTTGAGTTATAGTTCTCTGGCACACCATAGATTTATGATTATAATTTCAGCAACAGCTGATAATTCAGACAACTCTGACACAGCCTGGTCTCCCTAAACCACCCTATTGAACTAAGGCATCTTCCTTTCCTTTAGGAAAATGATAAATTGGCCATCAGGCCATTTTTTCCAGTCCTCTTCCACAGGAGTAAACAATCATTTTGAGCTTGAGCCATTCACCAAAAGAAATACAGTAGAAAACAAAATGTAAAAAAGAAAAATACATTTATTGGTAAGAACAGGCAGTTGTTAAGTGCACCTTCAGGCCTACAAAGACATTTCAGCACATTTAGTGCAAGGGGTAAGAGCTTTTTTGTCAAACTTGCCAGAAACACATGCCTATGCTACATGAGGTTAAATCCCTGTACTCCATACTTATTAGTTCCTTTGTAATGAACTATAAATGGGTAAGCAACATTCAGACTCCCCAAGCCACCCCACACCCTAATGATTCACCCAAGCCCCTGCCAAAAAAGAACCACTGCATGCACTTGTCTCTTTACACATGCAGAATAATCAGTCTATTAGTTAAACTAAGATGCGGACCCCCAACTGCTATAGAAACCAAGTTACCAAAGTGAGGCCTCATCTCTCGGGTGCTACTTTCTGATCATCAGTCCCACAGCACTGATTATTGCTGTTTTTAATGGAGTGCAGCATTCAAGTCAGTTTCAACATGGGAAGTTGTATCCTAGAATTCAGAGTTTGGAAAGATCAGGACCACCAGATTCTAATTTTTGGTGGGACAGGTGTGTCGTGGGGGGTGTGAACAGATAGGGGCCAGGAAAGAAGCTTGATGTCATCTACCTGGAGAACTGAATGCCCTGTTTTACCAGACATTTTGCAGCTGTTTTGAGTGGAGAGGTTCCCTCTGTCCTTGATCACTTTCCCATCATTAAAGATTCACAGATGCCAAACAAGCGAGAAGTCAAGTCTTTCTGTAAACCCAGCAGGTTGGGCTTGTGCGTTAACTGCAGAGTGAATTTTTTTAGACCATAAATGTCTCACTATATACATATATATAGATAGATAGATATAAGATGGGAGTGGGGGAAAGGGGTCTGTACAGTGTGGAAGGGAGAGGGGTTTCGACAGCAGATGGCCACATGCTAAGTGCATAATGAAGATTCTCAACTTGGTCCTTTAGAAAAATAAAGATTAGTGCCTACGTTGGTCAGGATGGAAAGCTGTCGTCTTCCAGGACCTAGCGGTCAAGGCTTGCATATTGCAGAAGATGCCTTCTCCCAGCAGTGCTTCCTTCCACAGATCAGGGTGGGAGCAGGGAAAGGAGGTGGGACTGAATGGGAAAGGATTCCTTGAAGGACCTGTATTGGATTTAAGATCTGAAAGGTTCCAGAGGGATTGTGGGGGAAGGGAGGAAGGAAGGGGTAGATGCTCAACTGGGAAATGGGGAGCCTCTCTCTCACCTACCTCTTGGGAAGTCCAAGAGAAAAAAATGTGCAGCCCTCCAGTCTGGTTGCCTGCCTGGTGGATGCTGCAGTAAGTGATGGTCTTTAGTTCCTCATGTTCTGCCATTCTGGGGCAGGCTGCCCAAGAGCCATCTCGGGGGAAGGAAAGGCAAAAACGATGAGGGCAGCAATGTCTATAAACCATCTGGGGAAATTCTGAGTCTTGCATAAACACGATTGTGACTTATTTGGCAGAGGCAAAACGCTGAGCCCCGCAGCATTGCGCTGCCAAGGGAAGGAAGGTGTCCATGGGCGCTGGTGGTCATTGCCCTCCTCTTCTCTGTCTGTCTGTCTGTCTCTCTCTCTCACACACACACACACACACACACACACACACACACACACACACTTGCTCTCTTTCTGCATGCCATGCCTGGGAGCACCATGGAACAATCCTGATTGTGTGGTGGTATCTTGCCCCTTCCTTCACTACATCTGATTGGCTCTATTCGTGGAGGCACTTTCAGCAAATCAGTGGATAAAGGATAAAAAGGCACTAAGCAACTACCTAAATCATCTGTTGAGTCTCTTCAGTGAGTTCTAGAGAAGTACAAAAGTCTATAGAGCTCAAATCATGATGGCAAAAGAAAACCAGCCGCTGCAATTTGGATGCATACGATAGATACATTTCATTTACATTCAGAGAATGCACCAAAAGACATGCATCGGCACCTCTGCAGCTAGGAAGGATAGTGCTTCTTAGGTGTTGTTATATATAACTTGACTTCTTAATTTTCCTTATAGTTTTCCCTCTAAGGGATGGGATATGTTCCTTTCTGACCACGCCTGGAGAGAAGCCAACACATTTCCCTGAACGATGCAGGAAAAGCATCAGATCTCTCTAGTCAGTCCCTTTGTGCCCTCAATCTAACAAGCGCTTTTTAAAAAATATTCTTATTATTACTGAATTCATGCATTAATTAATTCAAGTTACACCTTAATCAAGTAGGCCATAATGCTGAATATTTGAACATGCTTTGATCTCCAAAAGTTATTGTTCCCATTTGACTAACATATGCACTTAAATACAGTACTTTAAATTACTAATCAAATATTTAATAAATTAAGGAGTGCACTTTTGGTGAATGCAAATCAAAAATAAAAGAAAGAAAGAAAGAAAGAAAACAAAAAAGAAAACAAAAAACAAAAAGGACTATATTTAGAAAATTCGGTTCAAACGAAAGCTTATCCCCTATTGTCTGAGGAAACTTTTCAGGCATGCGATTACAAAATAAATAGTATCAAATTCAAACATGCATATATTAAACTCCATTGTGCTCTCTTGCAACACAGGGTGAAAAGTTTTGCATCCAGTTCTGGAGGGCAGGGGAGATAAAGGGAGAAAAGTGTGTTTAACCATCTGCAGTTAAGAAAACTTAGCAGCATTGCAGATGTTTTGTCCATTATTTTCCTTATAGAATAATAATTTGTCTGCATTAAGGGTACAAACAGCCAAAACACTGGGCTTAAGTTTATTCATAATAAGGTGCTGTGTGGATCTGTAGAGCAGAACTACATAATTCCTCGCAAAGGAGGATGGGAAATATACACTTCTTGAGCAAAATAGCAGCAGATGCTTGCTGCATGTCTCTACTGAACATTTTATCGGATGTACTTTTTTGGATGCATTGTGCAGTTTTGCAGAAATTTTGTTTTTTACTGGAATCCATGCATGTCACTAAAAACTGTCTTTTGCTGTAAAAATAATTTAAATGAACAAAAAAAAAAGTTAGGAAAAAAAGTTGAGGTTTAGAAGCATATGACTTACAACTAGACTAGTTCAAATTATTATCATTGTTAACCAGTTGGAAAATACCATTTGTAAAAGAAACAAAACATTATCTCTTTCATGGATCCTGAAAGCTTCTTTATCGCTGAGCAAAAATTCGCAATGCAACAATGCATTTACGAGGTAAATAAAGCATTCAAAGACTATTAGTAAAGCATCTACAAAGTGTGACCATGTCACTTAAAGTCTTCAAGCTGTGAGTGGGGTTTATTTTTTGTTTTGTTTTATTTTTGCTTTTTTTTTACACATCAGTCAGCAGCTTGTTTTTATTAACGCAGTTTTGGTTGGCTACGGTGCAGTTGCCAGTTCTGAGATTAGCCTCTCTAAAATTGTCTATGCTATTATTCATATCCTCTTCGATTTCCATGTACTCAGATTTGCTGATTGTGGAAGAACTACGGCAACTGAGATCACTGTCAGATGCTAAATTGGGGGAGCTAACGTGAAGTAACTGAGCCTGTTCTTCCCCTTCTGTTTCTCGGTGGTAGAAGTAGTTGAAGTTGGATACGATGACAGGTACAGGCAGGGCAATTGTCAGCACACCAGCGATGGCACACAAGGAGCCTACGATTTTGCCTCCAATTGTCACAGGGTACATGTCACCATAGCCCACAGTGGTCATGGATACCACTGCCCACCAGAAAGCATCGGGGATACTTGAGAAATGAGAGTCAGGTTCTTCAGCCTCAGCAAAAAACACCGCGCTGGAGAACAAGATCACCCCAATGAAGAGGAAGAAGATTAGTAAACCTAGCTCTCTCATACTGGCTTTGAGGGTCTGTCCCAAAATCTGGAGGCCCTTAGAATGCCGGGAGAGTTTGAAGATTCTAAAGACTCTTACCAGTCTGATGACTCGCAGAATAGCCAGAGAGGTGGCCTGCTCCCCCTTTTGGGTTCCTTCTTGTTCAGCCATCTCAGTTCCCAGGGTGATGAAGTAGGGGATGATGGCCACTATGTCAATGAAGTTCATGATGTTCTTGAAGAACTCAGCTTTACTCGGACAAGCAAAGAAGCGCACCACCAGCTCGAAGGAAAACCAGATGATGCACAAGGTCTCCACGATGAAGAAGGGGTCGGTGAAAATGTTGGACTTGTAGATCACGGTGGTGTTGTCAATGCGGTGCAGGGTCCCTGTGAAGTCTTTGTCCTCCTTCAGATCCGGTAAAGTCTCTAGACAGAAGATCACTATGGAGATGAGGATCACCATGACAGAGATTATTGCAATGACCCTGGCTGGCCCGGAGCTCTCTGGATACTCAAAGAGGAGCCACACTTGGCGCTGGTATTCCTTCTCGGGCAAGGGTCTCTCCTCCTCCTTGATGAACCCTTCATCCTCCCGGAACTTCTCCATGGCTTCCTCACCCAGCTCGTAGAACTTGATCTCCTCAGAGAACATATCTAGAGGCACGTTGACCGGCCTGCGGAGCCGGCCTCCAGACTGGTAGTAATAGAGGATAGCATCAAAGCTAGGCCGGTTGCGGTCAAAGAAGTACTCATTGCGCAAGGGGTCGAAATACCGCATGCGCTTTTTGGGATTGCCCAGCAGCGTGTTGGGAAACTGGGCTAGGGTCTTCAGTTGGGTCTCAAAGCGCAACCCAGCAATGTTTATCACAACCCGCTCACAGCACTCATGGTCGTCATGGGCACCTGGTTGGTAGCTGTCTTGGGGGTGGCCAGGCAGGGCAGAGGTCTCATCCACGTTGTCTCCAGCCATGACAGTCATGGTGGCACAAGTGATGGTGGGGAGGTGTGCGAGGGTTAGAGGAACACCCTGGAGGCGGTGGGAGGGAGACAGGGGTCTGAGGCAGAGAGCGCCAAGGCAAGGGAGGGAAACCTCAGAAAGCCTAGAGGTGGATGGCGGAGCTGGGATTGAGGGCTCTAGTGGGGGGGCAGAAACCAAGGATCAGGGAGGGAGAACCTTGGAGAGGGAAGGGAAAGATGGATGAGGGGAAGGATGAGGGGAAAGGGGGATGAGGGGGAGAAATACAGAGTGGGCAGAGGGGAGGGAAGGGCGAGGGGTCCCTGCCACACACCCCAGGCCGAGCTCCCCTCCCCAGCCCTTGCCTTTGGCCTTTAACTCGACGCTGCTCCTCCGCTCCCCGCCTCCACCATGGCTGCGGCCGGCACTGAGTTGCCACCAAAAGCAAGACACCAAGGGAGGCCGGGATGTGCCGACTCAGCACTTTCCACTGCCTCTCTCCGCGGCCCCCTCCTGCTCAGGCTCCGGCTCCGGCTCCCGCTCCTCCTCTTCGGCTGCGTGTGTGCGCGGTGCTGGGGAAGGGGCAAAGCTCGCTCCGGGGCAGGCGGCGGAGGCTGCAGGGGAGGGGAAAAGTCCATAAAAACACACAGGCGACGCGCTCAGGGGCAGCAAGGAGCATCGCGCTGTGTGCGCGTCGCGTCCCCCGGCACTGAGGGGAAGGGGGCGGCTGAGGAGAGCCCCAGCGCCCACTGGAGCCTCCTGGGGCTCGGCTGCTGGCCGGGCCACGAGCCTCCCTCCCTGGGGACAGGGTGCAGAGGGAAGGGGGAGAGCATGGGACCCCCCACCCCCCTTTATCTGTGCAGCAGCTACAGGGACTCGGGTAAGGAGGGGTGGAAGGGACCGCAGGAGCGCACCTAGCCCGGCCCTGCTCCCAGCGGGACCATCCCCGAGTGCAGCGTGCACGTGTGTGTGTGTGTGTGTGTGTGTGTGGTCCCACTACATAACTCTGTATGTGCAAGAGATCCTAATACATAACTCTGTGTGTGTGTAAGATCCCACTACAGAACTGTGTGTGTCAGATCCCAGTACATCACTGTGTCTGTGTGTGATCCCAGTAACTGTGTGTGTGACCCCAGTACATAACTGTACATAGTTAACATAGTACCAGTACATACAACTGTGTGTGTATGTATGTGTGCGTGTGAGTGAGTGATCCCGGCACATAATTGTGTGTGTTGTGTGTGTCATCCCAATACGTAATTGTGTGTGCGTGTGATCCCAGTACATAATAGCTGTATGTATATGTGTGTGTGATCCCACTACTTAACGGGGTGTGTGTGTGTGTGTATGTGTGTGTGAGGGGGGAGAAGAAAGTGAAGGAAAAGGCCAGGCTGGGTGGGCGAGCGCAGCCCGGGCTCTGCCTTACCTGCTCCGGGCCAGTCGCAGGGCTGGGAGCCCCTGCCGGAATGCGTCAAGTCGCCTCGTCTTGCAGCATCCAAAAAAGCGCAGCGGCAGGAGCAAGCAAACTCCCCCCCACCCTCCTCCCAATCCCCTGC